GCCGCCGGCGACTCACGGCAGCCCAGCTCCAGGTTGAGCTGTTGTTCAGCATCTTAGCTGTGGAGGGCAGTGTCACTGGCCCTCCTATGTGGGATCCGAACCGGGGCCCTCTGGCATCCCAAGCGAGTTCTTAACCATCGCGCCACTCGGCCGGCCCCCTAAACATTTTTTTTAAAAGAGAAAATACATGCTCTCAAGCAGAAAAGTACTACACAAACACATTCATCTGTCCCCATCCTTCACTTCCTCCCTTCTCTGGGGGAAGCAGAACAGCCAGCCCTCTCTGGTCCAACCAAGCCCTTGTGCTGGAGACTAGCCCAGAAAACTGCAGGCCACGCCTCCCTGACCTTCCATCCTCCTCCCCGGCTGTCCTGTCTCCCTCTAGCTTACAGCCCAGCCCCTAGGAAGGTTGTGTCAACTCACACTGTCTTCCTCTCTTCCTGCTACAATTCACTGGCAACCCACCTCCACCATGCTGGATCAGCTGCCCCTCTCTGAGACATATGTCCTGTGGGCCACTTCCTCCTTCCTCTCTCCTCCCTGGTTTCTATGACACCACTTTTTCTGGGGTTCCGCCTCCATCTCTGGACACTCCTTTTCATGCCCCTTTCCTGGCTTCTCTGCCTCTGCCCACTCTTAAATGCTGGTGTTCCCTGTGCCTCTGGCCCTGGCCTTCTGTTCTCTGTACCTGCACAGCCTCCCAGCATGATCTCACTCATGCCAGAGCTTCAGTTACCATCTACTGCTGACAATGCTCAAAGATAGCTCCGAATAATTTTTCAGAGTTTCAAGGATATGGCAGAAGGAGCAGACAGAGTATTACATATGCTTCAAAGCATTTTGCAATTTTTAAAGTGATCTACATATCCGACCCTCTTCTGGGATGGCCCATTGGACCTCAAATTCATCAAGCCCCAACTTGAACTCATCAGCGCTCGCTCAATCCTGCTCCCTCTTCCTTCTTCAGGAGTCCAGTTGTTTAAGACAGAAACCTGGGAGTCACCCTCCCACTCCATGACCACCAACTGTCAATTACCCTTTTTCTCGATTTCACCCCCTACACATCCCCTCTCCATCCCTGCCCACACGCCAGTCCAGGTCCTCTTACTCACTCCCAGAGATGTTCAAACATTCATCCAGTCACTCAGTCATTCATTCAGCAAGTATTAACAGAGTACCTACTACATGCCAGATGCTGATTCAAGTGCTTGAGATACATCAGGGAACACAACACATAAAAATCACTGCTCGGTGGAACTTACGTTCTAGCACTTGCAATAATTTCAGAAGTCACTCCGTCTTCCAGCTTAGCCCCTCTGACCGCCAACTCGACTGCGGCCACAGTGAACTGTGCAACATGTGCATCTGCTCAGCATCTTCCAGGAGCCTCATGATCCTGGGGTCAAGTCTGAGCCACATGAAGGGTGCCCTGACCCCTTCCCTTCCTCCTGCAGGTGCTGGAGCTCCTTCTCCAGGGCTCCCTTTGCTCATGGTCCATCCCCCATTATAACACATATCACATTACCTGCCCGCGCCAGCCAGCCTTTCCTCTCCACCCCGGGCACCTACAGGGCTGCAACTCGCTTTGATCTATTCCACATCACTAGAGCTTGGCCCATTATCTGGCTCATGGTTAAGGGTCAACAAATGGTAATGGGTTAAATAAATGACAGTAAATTAGTAGTAGTGTCACAGATAGGGAGAGGCTTGGGGAAAAGGGGATAGTGAGTTCTGCACTAGCTCCAGACCAGCCCCCTTACTGATAATTTGGACTGACCCCGTGGTTAAAAGCAGGGTTCAAATCCTGCTTCTGTACCTACTGGTTATGTGCTCTGAGCTTATTTTCTTCCCTATACAACGGGAACAAGAATAAACCATCTCAGTGGTGTTGCAAGGAGCACGTTGGATGCTTAGCACAGTGCTGGCATATCGGTTATCAAAAGCGAGCTGTCATCATTGCTATTGTCATCATCACCATCTTCCCCACCACTGGTGTCCATCCTTGCCTCCTGACCCTCCCATCCCCTTAGCACTGTTCTCTACTATTTCCTCCCTTCTCACCTCCCAATTCATGGTTGATCCACTGCAGTCAGCCTCCACCCCCACCAGTGCCTGGAATTTTCCAGGCTGAGGTCACCAGGGACCTCCTCTTTGCATAATCCTTTCCTCCCTTGACCTCTCAATGGCATGTGACCCTGGCATCACTTCCTCCTTTTTAAATGTCCTTCTCTGACTTCCATGACATAAACTGTCCTGCTTCTCAGGACAGCCTCTGACCCTATCACTCTGGGTCTCTCAAGCCCAGGACCTCTGCTGATCCAGACCCAAATAATCAACTGCCTACTGAGCATCACCACCCCATGTGTCACAGACACCCGAAATCACCATGTCCAAAGTGGTTCCTTCCCAGCTCCACCACCCGGTCCCCACTCCTGGATTCTGCTGGTGAGTGGCCAGATAAGCCCATCCACCAAATCCTCCAAACTGCTCTCTGGGAGTCATCCCCTTGGTTTTGCCTTGCCAAGCAGTCCCAGTTCTGCTCTTAACATTCCACCTACTTAACATCGTCATACCCAGCCCTCCTCTCATCCCTGCTGCTTCTCCCAGAGTCAACCCCTCATCTCTTTACTGGACACCTTTACAAGTTTCCTACCACTTGTTATTCAAGTGGAGCTTGCTTAAAAAGCTGGAGCTCAGACCCCAAACCCAGACCTACTGAATCAGAATCTGCATTTTTAACAGGACCCCCAGGGGATTCACATGCACTTTAAAGGTTAAGAATTGCTGTCCTACCCAATCTCCCACTCTAGCCTCCCCCAAACCGAACCAATCCCATACTTAACCACCAATGTGCAAATATGGCTATGTACCCCTTACTTAAAAGCCCTTAGTAGCCCTTAGCCCTCCACTGCCCTCAGGATTAAATCCAAACTCCTTAGCAAAATATCCAAGGTCCCTTTGCTCTGGTTTTTAACTTATGGCCATCTAACCACCCCATCTAACCATGGTTGACACAATGCATAAAACCTTTCTGAGGACTGCTTCTGGTCTCATTTTCCTTCATCACAGTTAGAGATGAAATGCAACACACTAAAATTGTAGTGTTCCTGTTGCAGGATGTAACTGGCCATATCACTCACCTATGCACTTATGAAGTGAAGCTTATAGCATGCCTTTCTTCTTAACTTCAACACACCCTTTGCTGGTTCCTACCTCTATGCCTTTGAACATGCTGTCCCCACTCCTGCAATGTTGCTCTGCCTCTTATCCGCCTGCAAACCCTCCTTTATCCACTGGTCCCAGCTCAGGCCTTCGCCGACTCCATAAACACAGTTACTTCCTAACTACCCATGTCAGCACTGTTCTTAGCACTATCATAGCCCTTATCATCTTGAAGTTATTTCTCTAGATGTTTGTCACTCTCACCATCCCAGGTGCTATCTGTGTATCTCCTATGGCCCATCTATGATGATTCAATGAAGTGTTTGCTGAAAGGCTGAATAATACAACTTTTTCAACTTCTGTCCTGATGGTAACTGTAACAGGAGCAATAAAGATTAGACTTCAGGAGGAACTAGTGAAAAAGAGTAACACAGCAAGACAAGTGTGCTATTGTCTGTCATCCCTCAGCCTATAACTTCCCCAGGAGCAGGCATCAACCAATCAACCACAGAATGTTAACTCCAAGGGGATTTTCAAGATCCCATCACCCAGCCAAATGCCAGAGAGGGCAATTGCTTTGTCCAAGGTCACACAGCTGGCTAGGGGCAGAGCTGGGACTAGATTCCAGGTAGCTCTGGAAGAAGTTTGGGTAGATGGCTACCTCATGCCATGAACCTCTTCCCTTCCTAAAGGAAGTCCCTTATGCCCTAACATGGTCAAAGGGACTACTCAAAGCTCTTAAAGCACCTGCTGGGAACTTGGCTGGCTGGAGTTGCCAAAGCCCTGTAGATTGAAGGAGAGGACCCCATTATTCCCATTTTACAGATTGGCAAACCAAAGCAGCAAGACTGTCACACTGCTAGCTAATGGCACAGGTAATATTTGACGCTAACTAGAAAGGAAAAAAAATCACACTTGTGCAGAGTCACTATTTACAATAATCATGACCACTGGCCTCTTAATGCCTGGGGAATCCCCTCACTCCTACCAGTTCCTCTTTAATTTCCATCCCTCTTACATAGGATGTCTGACTTAGGAAAGAACCGATACACCACCCTCACACCCCCACTGCGAGTCATAACCTTTGACGGGGAAATCACCCTTGACTGTGTCATTGCTGAATTTGGAACTACCGTCCACATTCTGAGGTGGAGACACCGAGGGTCCCAGATAAAGCATTACTAATCCGTGGTCAAAGCCAGTAAGTGGCGAGGCTGGGTTTCGAACCCAGTTCTTTCTGGCTCTAGAACCGCCCCGCCCCCCC